CCACCAAATTTGTAAACCCCCAAATTTTGCCTCCCCCCCCCCCCCCCCCCATATTAAAATCCTCCAAGACACGCTATATGCCGGTTGACGACCAAATATCGAAATCCAGAAACTATTGAAACTCTGGATAATGATGAGAAAAGGCTGATGAAGAACGCCGAGGAGGCATAATGTCCCAACCCAGGCGGCACGCCTTAGGACGTCTGTATTGCTTCGACCTCTTTGCGACTAGCGATTGTAGAAGCGGACCCGATAGAGTAGAGTGCGTTCCGTCAGCATAGAGAGGCGTACGAGCCACGTTACATGTGAATAGTAATATAAATGGATACCCTATGTGTGTGATCCCGAGACTTCAGTTGCGTTGTATAGATGAGTAGAGACGAGGTCATGTTAGATGCATTTGTAAGTCTCTGCGATCGAATTGTCAATCTACGCTTTCCGTCTCCGAATGTCTGCCATCCAGATGGAATCGATCAAGCCATCCGTCCCAGCCTTCACGACATGCCTGGCCTGAAAGATTGGCCTCGCTGGCTCTAGTCACCGAATCTTGGTCTCCGACATGATGCCAGCCCTTTCCAGTGTTGTCCGTATGCGAAACCCCCCTTAGAGTCCGAGGCTGGGCCTCGCGTTTCAACGCCGTCTATTGGCCGCAGCTCTGGGAGGACCAGATATACGCGGAGGCAGTCGGCCACGGCACAAGGCTACATCAGAAAGCGTGGCTGTCGTGTCGCCAAAGTTAGGCGTTCGAGGATGCTGCTTCCGAATCTAGTAGCAGCCCGCCGGAACAGCACCCGGGCATGAAAGTCCCAAGGGGGGGCTCTTGACGGCAAGCTGCGCAAGAGGACGTCTGCATAGACGATGTGTCCGATAACGAGACGACAAGGCTTTGGCCGAGAATTTGGGATTCAAACTCCGCCAACTTTCGTAGGTTGGAGGATACTCTCCGCCGGCTGATGGTCTGCACAAGTCCGCACACCATGTTGTTCTCCCCCGAAAAGTCCGCTGGCCATGTCTGCTGGGCGTGTGAAATGCGTCACTCGCAGAGTAGAAAATGTACATCATAAAAGGCACACGCCGACGCAGGTCTCGTCGAAGAGACTCCCAGACTCGTATTACTCTGAGCACATCTACTGTGAAACTGAGTGGACTAGAAACTTCCTCAACATACATTCCCCTGACCACATCCAAAATGGTCGTCGTCGCAGTCGCCGGTGCCACTGGCGGCATCGGCCGTGCTATTGTGGAAGCCATACAACAAGCCGGCACTCACGATGTGATCATCTTCAGCCGAAAGGTTTGACCCCCCAAGTTCTGCCTCGAGAGACATTTCCTTTTCATCTCAACACTCCCAGGCCAACCCGACCCTTTCCAACGAGCTCAATGTGCCCATCATCGAGGTCGACTACGCGGACGTGGAGGCCACGACAGGGACGTTGGAGAAACACAACGTCCACACGCTGATTTCGGCCTTGACCACCACGCAGTCCCTGAAAATACGAGACCAGATCCCCGAGATCCAGCTCATCCAAGCCGCGGACGCCGCCAAAGCCACGCGACGATTCGTCCCGAGTGACTGGGGCATCCCCTTGGACGAGGGGTAACACACATCCCATCTTACTCCCCCCCTCCCGGAGAAAACTCAGAGCTAACCAAAGCACGTCCAGGGACCGGGACGTCCTGTTCAACGCAGGCTTCAAGCTCGACAGCAGGAAGGCGCTCGAGGAGACGACGGACCTCGAGCACACGTCGTTCCACAACGGCTTCTTCCTCGACTACTGGTGCATGCCCGCGGTGAAGTCCCACATGACCCCCTGGACGGTCGTGGTCGACATGGCGAGCAACGCCGCGGTCCTGCCCGGCTCCGGGGACGTGAACGTCACCTTCACCCACACGTCTGACGTCGGGCGGTACGTTGCCGCCTGGCTCGACGTGCGAGAGTGGGAGCCGCGCACCTTTCTCGTCGGCGAGACGGTAACGTGGAATCAGTTCCTTGCCATTGCGGAGGACGTCAAGGGTACGTGACGTTTGCCGCCAACCCCCTCACGGATTGAACTGCTTTCCTAACGAAGGGTCATCTCATAGGTGCAAAGTTCTCTGTAAAGTACGAGGGGGACGAGTTGTACAGCAGCGGGAAGGCGACGATCCTGCCGTCGCAGAAGGTTGGGCTGAACTGGTTCTCCGAGGACACCTTGCAGACGATGCTGTCGTCCTACATGCTTTTGTTTGATCAAGGCAGGTTCGATCTCAGCACGAGGTCGTCGAATGCCCAGTTCCCCGAGATCAAGCCGATGAAGGTTAGGGAGGCGTTGGAGAAGGCTTGGGCGAGGCGTTGAACATGACGAGAGGAGCATGTCAGCCGGTATTCGAGCATGTGTCTTGAGGAACGCCGGGAATCAGTACCCACGCAAGCTTGCACAAGTCTAGCTGCGAGGACTTTTACAGACTGAAACATGTCAATTTGTTACGCCACGTCCAAACTAAACACGACTTCAAAGGGTCTCTGGTATTGCATGACAGCGTGCCGATCCTGGCTTGGACAAAAGGGTAAGTCTCTGTATATACCAGATCATCCATATTGGTTAATAATTAAACCCATCTGGTTCGAGAAGCGCTCGATATCGATTCAGATGGTGGTGAGTAGAGATGCTGTCAGTCCAACCTCATACAAGGTTGGAACCACCTCTCAACAGTACTTTGATATGAGTCAACCACCCCTTCGACCAACCTTTCTGGAATCTCAACCTTGTATCTGCCTCCGTCCTTCATTTCCCGGCGAATACTCGTCTTCCTTAACAATCCATAACGGCGCGATAGCTCAGAGGCAGAGCGTGGCTCCATTAAAGCCAAGGCCCCTGGATCGAAACCGGGTCGCGCGAAAATGATTCTTTTTTGCACACCTCTTTCGGTCCTCTCCCGTGATATCCGCACTTGATGAAACTCTCAGGTAATATCAAATGGCAAACCTTCTCTCTTCGATGTGATCAAATTCAAGAGGAAGCTGAAAAGTAGTCTCGCTAATGTGATGTCAACGCCCTTGCAATCTAGCCAACATTGTAGCTGACAGTCATCCGCACCCCTATAATCATGTAAACATATCTCATCTCATTCCATCACATGCACTCAGTCTCCCAATTGACCCATGTCGTGTTCGTCAATCACCTCGGCGGGTCCGGCACTGGCGGCGGCGGATACCTGGCCAGCGTCTGCGCATTCGACTCGTCCGAGTCCGTGTCCTCCTCAAAATACGGTTCTCGGTACCCGTTAGGGTACAATCTTCTAGGCCCAACTTGATCAGCTGGTATTCTTCGAACAACGGCGGTGGATGCGCCCACATCTTGATACGTCGGTCCCCGTCCCCCGCTCATTTGTATTTCCGGTCTGGACCGCGGCTTATCTCTGTGCGAGGCGGACCGCCCCGGCGCGCCGCTCCGCTGGACGGTGATGTTCATCCCTTCGGTTCTCCGCCGCGGACGCGGGCGGCCGACCCACTCCGCTTCCGTCTGCGGGTTGTCCGCCGCGTGCCGGTCGAAGGCTCTGCGCTGTTCGACGGGCGACGGGGGCGCAAAGGGGCTGCTCCGCGGCTCCATCGTCTCGGCTCTGTACATTCCGTTAGGCCACATCTGCTGCGAATGCCGGCGGGCGGTCGGGCTGGTTCCGTAGACAGTTGAGGCAGGCCGTTGCGAGAGAGGACTGGGAGCGCCGTAGCTGTTGTCTAGCTCGCTCAGGGCAACCTCCACGCCGGCCTGGATGGCTCTCTGCATCTGCTCCGGGTCAAGCCGGGAGCTGAACGAGGACCGTCTGTCGAATTCCAGCCTGGGATCTTGCCGGCCTTGGATCCGGTTCGCGTACTTGGGATCGAGCTGTCTCCTGCCCTCCCACAGCTGGTCCATCTCTTGCTGGTTGAGATCGGGCGGCGGCGCACCGGGCCTGCCGGCCCAGTACGTCCGGTCATCGACAGACCGCGCGGGTGTCGTGTACATCCGCATTGCATACTCTGACCGCGGCGGCCCCGGTTCAGAATTCAAGTCGTTCTGGAACAGCTCGTTCCGGATCTCCCCGAACCCAAGCTTCATCTTCCTGTCCATCTCCCTGCTGAGGACGGCAATGTCCCTCTCACGCTGCGCAGCTTCCATAGCCTGCCTCTCTCGCGCCTTCTCGCGCTCGAGGAGACTGCTCATGGCCCGCTGGACGTGCTCCATGTCGACTGACTGCGGCTGGATCGGGCGCGGTTTTGGCCGAGAGGGGGTTCTGCCCTCATAGCGAGGTATCGGCTGAGGCTGTGACGGCACGGGGATTCCATAGTACGGACTTTCACGGTCCGTGTACGACCTGGGCGAAGGGTCGAACGGGTTAGACCGGTGATGGCCGGATGACGGGGGCCTCGGGGGTGCGCTGTTCGGATACTGGCCTGGGGGGTAGTTGTACCCGGCCGCTGACGGGTAGGAATAATACGGCGGCGATGGGTCGACGGGATTCGGGCTGAAAGGGTTCCCGCCCATGCTTCTGGAGAACTGGGGTAGATTTTGGGTCTGGACATGCGGCGGCATCGGACGGGCTCGCGATCCTGGGACCGGGAATGGTGCGGATGCGGGAGCGAAAGGGTTCGGGGGGCGCTCGGTGCTTCTGTGCCGGTGATGGGACCGGCTGCTCGGACGCCTCCGGGGGAACCCTTCGGGGAATTGCGATGGCGACGACGATAAGTCAAATTGCACACTCTTCGGTCCGTGATGCGTGCGCGTCGCCACTCCCGGCTCCGAGTCGCTGTCGTACAAGTCAGACTCGTCGGACGTCATCTTATCGGCTGATTTGCAGCGGCGCTGTTGCGTTGGGTATCAAGGGTACCGGATGGCCGATCACGGCTCAGGCACAAGCCGAATCTGAAGAGCGCGGGGCTAATTCAGCGGGAAATAATTCCAATGGGATTTTCGATGATTATTGAAAGAACCGCTATCGACGCCGACGGGCTGAGGCTAGAAAACCAAATGTCATGATGTCGAGACCGCACGTTGTGGGGTGCGTAAAGGTAAAAAAAGGTCGTGAACGCCCGACGGTCCTAAGTCAGGAGTGATGGGCGTGTTCTATGAGCTGGCAATGGTCACACACATCCCGCTTCCCCTCCAATTGGTAAAGTGCGGAGGCATGAGCCGTTCATGCAGCTCCGTTCAATCAACGGCCGCCCGCCCTGCCCTCAATCGTGTTCCAAGCAGGCTGTAAGGCAACCGGACCTTTCTGCAATCAGCAGCCTGGTGATGTCTTCTTGCTTCAGGGAGAGAGCGTACTTTTGCTGCGACCTGCGGCCTGGATATGCGACCTGCGCGCTCCACCCAAACCGAACCCAACATCGCGAGCCGTTTGGCCTGCTTTGCGAGGCGGTGCGTTAGTGTAGCTGATTGCATGAGTCGCTGCAGTCGAGACCTGGTGCGTCCTTATTGGGTTGCACAAGTGAGGCTGTCGGGCCAATGAAGTCGGGGGATGGTATGCACGCCTGTTGATGACCTTGGTAGCTCCATGCGGAGGGGATACGCCATACAGAGACCCAGTTGCGGGCATGGCACGATCGGTTTGCATGTAAAGTGGACTCTCATCGGGCGTTTGTCGAAGATTGGGGGTTTGTGGTTTCTTGAGGCTCTGTGGGAGTTGACTCTGCAACTGTACATGAAGTACTGTTGGGCTGCCTGCGTAGCTTCTGGTTACATCATTCAGCATCTTCGTCGTTCTCATTGAAGGAGCTTGAAACTTACGGATGGCAATCACTGAACAGGCTTGTCCTGTAAGTACTAGCAAAAGTTCGCTTCATAACCATCATTAGCTGGCCGTCAATAAATTCGTGTTGAATGCAATTATTTTGGATTGAAAGACGGGTTGTGTACGGGCAGTTGAACTATGTATCTTGTCAAGAAAAACTACCTTATTCCGGGAATCGTGATGGGCTTGTTTTAGCGACAGGCAAGAAAATTGACAATTGCCTTCACTGCCTGGTGCTAACAATTGTCCGATTTGACCTTTCGGTTCGTCATATGGCAGAACATGATGCTCAAAAGAAGTAGAGACAGTAATTATCCTGTATTCTTGGGTTTACTGAGCATTGTAGTCGCCCTAAGCTAAAAAAAGCCGCCAAATGCTCAGCGAATATGGACTTCCAACTGTGCCATTTCAAGCCCAGTACATTACCAATAGATGCGCTCGTAACTCCATGTCCGTACAGACGTATGCGGGTTACGTCCAGTACCACCGAGAGTTTTTGAAAAGTCTCAGTAAGTAAATCAGGGAAAGCTTAACGCATGGGATGAGATAGATATCTAACTGGTCGTAGTTTGGAAGCCAGTCTATGTGGACGAGAGCGTCACACGGAAAGTTGCGTGCGCCATATCTTGACGGTCTTATCGGCCGACCCCGAGGCCATGAGGCGGCCGTCCGGCGAATAGGCCACAGAAAATACCCAACCTTGATGACCTTCCAATGTCTGGATACAGCGCCCGGTGCTAGTATTCCAGATCTTAACGGTACCATCCCTCGAACCTGAGGCTATGCAACGGCCATCTGGCGAGTAGGCCACAGAATAGACTGTGCCACTGTGGCCCTCGAGTGTCTGAAGGTAGCGCATAGTGTTGCTGTCACATATCTTAATAGCATTATCCTGCGATCCCGAGGCTATATAGCGACCGTCTGGTGAGTAAGCTACAGACCAAACTGCACCCATATGGCCGTCGAATGTGTGTAGGCAGCATCCAATGCTACTGTGCCAGATCTTAACCGTCTTATCAGACGACCCTGAGGCTATGCAGCGACCATCCGGAGAGTAAGCCACAGGTAATACCGAATCACTATGACCCTTGAGTATCTGAAGGCAGCGCCCAGTGCTACTTTCCCATACCTTAGCGCTATTATCGGATGACCCTGTGGCTGAGACAATTCGGCGGCCGTCGGGCGAGTAGACCAAAGAGAAGACCGCACCATCTTCGTCCTCAAGTCTTTGGAGAGAGCGGCCAGACCTGCTATCCCATATGTTGATGGTCCCTTTTTGCAGCCTCGAGGCTGAAGCTATGTGGCGTCCGTCCGGAGAGTAGGCTATGGACGAGACCGAACGGCTATGGCCCTCAAGTGTTTGTAGACAGCGGCCGAGCTTGCTATCAAAAATCTTGATGGTGTGGTCTCCCGACCCTGAAGCCAAGCATTCGCTGTCCGGTGAGAAGAACACGGAATTAACCTCACTAGTATGTCCCTCGAGGTTGTGGACGCATCTGTAAGTTGCTGCATCCAAGTTGCTCGACGAATGTGTCAGATCTGGATTTTTCACCAGCGACGCTTTAGCCAACTGCTCCCTGAGTTCCGCAATTTTCAACCTGTCCTTCTCCATTTGGCTCTGTTGCGTGGTCAAAAGCTGCTCCAGTTTTGCGAACCTCTCCTCGTGAAGCTGTTCCAGGCTAACCTTCAAGCTTTCCTGTTGGTGGAGGAGAATCGCAATTTCATCTTGTCTCTGCTTCTGTAGCTGCTGTGTCTGATCCTGTGACTCTTTGTCTTGAAGCTCTCGAGCCTCTGCCATATCTTGCTTCAGCTGTTCAATATCGCGGGCAAAGCGCTCACGCTCAAGTGTCAATAAACTGTCCAGCTCCTTCCCTGCACTGGTGTCGTGGAGATCCTTGTTCTCGTCTACCATCTCCGTTTGGATCGCGAGCGTGGTCCGCGTCGTTGTGTCGAGAAGGGTGTGGATAATATTGCGCGCCGATTCATCGTGGTTATGATGTCGTGCCATCCTCGAGCCTCTACTAATCATCTCACCCCAGTAACCGGGTTTCGTTCTGAGTTCATCCTCTCTCTGAATCCCGACATTGTGTCGAACCTCCCCCCACATCGTCGTGACGAGAATCACATTCTG